TGTGAGGGATATGTTTGAGAATAAAATTGGATTTTTGTGCTTAATTTCGAAATATTGTGGGAGTTATTTTTGTGGGAAGTTGAGGAGTGTTTGAATTTTAATTTGAGTGGGATTTTGTTGCCAAATAACCGCCCAATCTCTTTCTCTTTCACCACCTCGAGATAAGGAAACTGCTTTTTGCAGTTATCTGTGACAGAACCTTTAATCCCTCACGCAACCCCATTTCTTTTCTCTCTCCCATTATTTCTCATTGAACCGACTTTACTCTTCCTTCTTCATTCTCCATTTTCTCTCTTCCTCTCTCTATCAAACCCTAATCCTTCAGAATTCTCTATCACCGTTTTTACACTATGGCTGGAAGCAAAGACAAATCCAAGAAGCGCCATAAAAAGCACAAGGAGAAGGACAGAAAATGCCCTCGTTACACTGTTTCTCCGATACTACCGCACATGACGCGGCCACCGGAATCGTCCACTCAACCGATGGAAGAAACCCCTACTGCCACACCATCCTCCACTCCGTCGAAGGATGTCTCTCCGATCAAGTCCCTACAGGACTCACCCAAGTCCACCAATGTTCCCATTTCCTCGACCCCTGTGATTGAAGCGGTTCCTCCTGGCGGAACTCAGGGGGAGTCGTCGGTTATTCTAACCTCTGTCACCAAAACTATCAAAGAAAGCAAGAAGGAGGACACCACTGGTACTCCTATTGAGGTTCACTCCGACCAAGCTACCCCTCCTCCTCGGCAACTCGTTCGCTGTTCTGCGAGACGCCGGGGAAAGGACCCTGTTGACGAAGAACCTCTTGAGACTGAGTCTGAAGATGATGCCTTTGATATCATCAACGCCTTTTCTAACAGGTTCTATACCCAGTTGGCTAGTGATAGGTTCAACACTCTTTCTTCTTATGATTTCTTTCTTGAGCGTCCTGTAGATGAAAAGTGGTTCGGTGAACATGGCGTTATTGATCTAATTGCTAATCTTGGTACGTTGGGAACTGTGTCTTTATCTCAACCCTTCTGTGGCCAAGTTGTTCGTGAGTTCTATGCCAATCTTACTCCTGTTGTGTTTTCTCCTGATAGTCCTCGTTATCACAAAGTTCTTCTTCGAAACCGAGTCATTGATTTTTCCTCTGCCTTGATAAATGCTCATTTGGATCTTCCAGATAACGTAACATTTGAGTTGTCTGAAGTTGATTTTAATCTCCTTACTGTTGTTCTTTCTGATAACATGCTGGGTGAGTGGTCTGGTTCTAACTTGCCGGTTAGTTCCCTTCATCTGAAGGCCAATCTGTTGCATAAGATTGGAGCTTGTAATTAGACCCCTACTGCTAATAAGAATCAGCTTACTGAGCTTCAGTGCAAGGTCATTTATTGGGTTCTTGTTGGTCAACCTATATATTTTGGGGTTGTGGTATTTGAGGTCATTCGGTCTTTTGTTGCCAATCTTGATTCGCGTCGCACATTGCTCTATCCTTGCTTGATTTGGTCATATCTGGTTGCGGCCAACTTTGTTGTTGATGCACGTTTCAAGGACTATTTTTCCAACCCCGGCAAGACTCTTGTAGTCAGTTCTCGGACAATCAATGCCCAGTCCACCCCGAAGACCAAATTGGAACCTGCTCCCTCTGTTGTTCCTACAAAGTGGGATGAGTTTGTTGTGCAGCAAATAAGTGAGTGGGAGATCATTTCCAAACGGGCTGCAGCACAACAGACCTACCTCCGGCAGGTTCTCAAGGCCTTATGCGCAAAGAAAAAGAACACGGGGAAGGGCTCTTCGGTATCCCGTAGTTCGAAAAAAAATGAGATGGATGAAGATGAGGAGGCTGATGATGAGGACTCTGGGGGAGACTCCACTGATGATGCTATCAATCAGTATGCTGGTTGATTTTATGTGTGATGCTTTTGAGGGATGTAATGAGGTCTTGCATGTATAAGAACCTCTTTTAATTTCTTAAGTGGTCTGCTTTTAGTTGCTACTATCAGGTATTGTTTTTTGTTATTCCTTGTGATGAACTCTGTTTTTGTCTATGCTTGGTGATTTCTGTTTTCGATGTGAATTTTGTTCATATATGTTTTGCAAGATGTATGAACTGAGTGTTTACTCAGTTGCTGAGTTAGATGTCCTTTTTCAGGATCTATTTGTGTTTCCCTTGTGATGATAATTGGTATATTTGTGCTTGTTGTTCTAACTTTGTTTCAGGTCATCTTCATTATATAATTTTCGAACTAGATGCCAAAGGGGAAGATTGAAAGAGTTATATTTTTTATGAAATTCAAAAAATTAATATAAGTGACGATATGTTCTCGAAAGCATGATTTATAAAAGGGAAGTTCTTTTATGTTATTTTATACTCACAAATATTTATTTATATATGCATATATATGAGTCGATTTTATATAATAAATATGTTTTGCATGATCTTATGTTGATTCTGTTATTTTAGGAATAGATATGCATGGACTAAAAGAGAAGCGTGCATTATGAGAAGATCTTGGAGTGAGGTAAAGGAGATATACACTTACCATAATTCTTGGCACTTAACTTGGAAGGAAATCGGAAAAAGGAAGGAATGCTACTTGGAGATAACTCCACGCCTAGGGTTGCATAAATACCCTACTTGAAGATTGAAGACGGCTGCTGATAGTATCATTCATTCACATATTCTTCAAGCTTCAAGTGCTTTTGTGAATTTAGATTGTATTCAGTTTTAATGTGTTCTTACGAAACTGAAGACTGGGGTTGCATTGTATTCTTTTAGTTGTTTTTTGGTTTGAACTTTATCGTGTTTAACACTTAAAGATTAAGTGTTGATTAGAAAGTCCACGGGACGTGGCCGAAGAAGTAGTTGGTAAATTCAAGCATAGTTGTGGCTAGACTAGAAGGAAGTTCTAGTTGTTATAATTCCAAACTATGTATGATCGAGTTATCAATGAAAGAATTCTTAGGGGAAGTGGGATGCTTTCCTGAAGAGTTTTTGTATCTCCGGTTTATTGCTTCCGCTATTTTAGACATTTACTTGTGTTTTTACAACGTTGAGCGCACTCTCGCTAAATATATACGTTTTAAGATTAACCGTGTTGTACATACCACCTATAGTGTTTGATGAACGTGAGAAGAATGATTCCCTTTATGATAGAATTCTCTATGTTATTTATTTGTTTATTTTTTTTATATTTTCTTCTTTTGTATAATGTGGTGATCTTTGAATTGTATTTCCATTTATGATCTCATTTTTATACTCATTTATATGATCTTTGAATTTTCAGCTATGGAACTAACATTAGCCCTTTGAGAAAATTGCGATCAAAAGCTCTTGATCCTTTAGTGTAAATCGCCCCAAAAGTTGCTACTTTGTTATGTCTGTGAAGTTCACATAAAAGCTGGTTATGTCTGCGAAGTTTGCACAAAGGTTGGTTTGGTTTGGTTTCATAGATATGTCTCTGTAAGAAGTTTGAGTAGAGAATTACAAATTTAGACATTCATGCCGGCAAAAAGAGAGAGTTTCGAGGTTTAAAACTTTTTTTTTTCGAAACGATAGAATTCATTACTGAAACACGTACTTACAACCGGCTCACTAGCTGGAAAACGGAGGTCTACCAAAGGTAGCCAAAATGCCACAACACAAAACTACAAAAACACAAAATACTCCCCAACGAGAGAATATCCACTCCCCAACGGGAGAATACAAACTCCCCAACGGAAAAAATCGACACTCCTAAAATGGAGAAAACAACACAAACACACACTTACAGCACAACACAAATACAACAGCAAAACACAAAAAAATTAAACTAAAACTCTTCCCACAGCAGTGTAGCCAAACCGAACACCAACAACACCGACACACATGGGCGACTACAGACACGGACAGGGTTTGTAACACAAACCTCCCTCAAACCCAATACACATGATATATGCATGAATGAAGAAAAGTTTTAGTCATTAAAGGCCCAACAGCGGCCCGCAAAGAAGGCCCAACATTAAAATCAATGATTGTACTTGCATTATCACTTTGTGAGTGTGCCACGTTTTATCAAAGTGGCCAAAGGCATTAAAACTTTTAATTTTTCGACTTGATTGACGCTTAAATTCGTTCACATCTGTTAGTGTTTCAATTTAGGTAAAATAATTAAATGATTTATAAACTGCAATTAATTTAAGATGCATTTTAC